TCTGTAGGTTTTATAAAGCATGTAACTGTACATACTTTGCACCTACTAGTTGCCACCAAGCTGATTTTGACTCATGGAGATCTCATGTGTGTCAGAGTAGCACTGTGGTCCATGGAGTTTTCAATGGCTGAATTTTTGGAAGTGAATCAACAGAACTTTCTTCAGAGGTGACTCTGGATGGAAGGGAACTGCCAAGCTTTTGGTTAGCAGCAGAGCACTTAAATGTCTGTGCCACCCAGGAACTCCTCACTTCTTACTTAGCACCCCCACCCTCATTTTGCTGTGGCCTGAGTTTTAGTATACCTAGGAAATTAAAGGTGAGGCTGAGCAGTCATTTTCTGTGATCTGGATTGTGAAGAAAAACAACCTGTCTATATGAGATCACAGACTCGTTTTTTCACTTAAGAGCCGATGTTTTAGTTGATTTGTCAAGAGAGTCATTTTCATTTTCATTTTATTTATGGAGATATGCTTCAATTGAGTCTGTAAGGATTTCTCATGCTTTATTCCTTGGGTGGTGCAAATGGTTAAGCACTTGACCACTAGCCATAAGGTTAGAGATTCAAACCCACACAGAGGTGCCTGGGGAGTGGGAGAAAGGCCTGGTGGTCTGCGTCCCAAGGGTCACAGCCTTGAAAACCCTTTGAAGCATAGTTCTACTCTGCACACACTGTGTCATCAGCAAAGGAATTGATATGACAGCAAATAAAAATGACCCACATTCCTTGAACTGTTATGTTATGTGCCGTCGAGTCAGACCCAACTTATAGTGAACACTCCTTGGGTTTCCGAGGCAGTATCACTACAGAAGTAGATTGCCCAACCTTCCTTCCGAGGAGTGGCTGGTGAGTTTGAACCGCCAGCCTTCTGGTTAGCAGTCAAGTGCCTTAGACGTTATGCTACCAGAGCTCCTTAAACTGTAGCCCTCCAATATTCACCAGTGAATAGTTATAACTAAAAAGGTAGAATTTTGGAGTTCATCTGTTTCATTGGCTTTTTAAACATTAATTACAAAAGAAATATGGACTCATAATTACTAGAGCCATCCAGAGGTATAAAAGCAAAAAGAAAAAGTCAAATTCACTGCCGTCGAGTAGAACCTGACTCATACGACCCCTCCTTGGGTTTCTCAGGTATAAAAAAAAAAAGGTAAAGACTCCTCTTTACCAATCACTTCTGGATTATCCAATTTGCAGACCAAATATGCACTCAGGACACTCACAAAAGCAGTGGCTTCAAGATGTTTTTGAAAACATGTCATAATTGATATTTCAGAGGAAGCATTGGATGAGAGATACCACTTTTTCACACAGGAAAAGCCAGAAATTTTGGACTCTACATTTATGTTGTATTTCAGTATTCTTATTAAATTTTACAGTATAGATGTTTTAGATGTACATATAAATGCTCAATTGGGGGAGGACCAATATGCATAAATAATGCATATTTATAATATATAAAAATGTAATGGAAAAATGCATATGCCTATACACTTTTTTAGGAGCTCTGGTAGCATAGTGCCTAAGGTACTTGACTGCTAACCAGAAGGCTGGTGGTTCAAACCCACCAACCACTCCTCACAAGGAAGGTTGGGCAATCCTACTTCTGTAGTGATACTGCCTCAGAAACCCAAGGAGGGGTCGCTATGAGTCGGGGCCGACTCGATGGCACATAACAGCAACAACAACAACATACACTTTTTACATAATTATAATTGGAGAGTTATTTTTCATCTTAAAATTTTGCTTGTTATTATTTTATAAGTATTTCCATGTTCATACAGAGATGAACAGATACAGATATTCTGTAATCATTGCATTCTGCTCCATAGCACTAAGAAATCATATTGCTTGATTATTATTTAACTTAATTTTTTTCTAAATTTCTCACTGTCACAAAATACATGGCTATATTGATATTTCAGGAATAGGTATTTTCTTTTCTAAAATTATTTTCTTGGGGTAAATCATGGCTGTTGTTGTGTGCCATCAAGTCAGTTCTTATTCTTAGTGATCCAGTAAAACAGAGTAGAATTGCCCCATAGGGTTTCCTAGGCTGCTCTGGTAGCGTAGTGCCTAAGGCATTTTGACTGCTAACCAGGAGGCTGCCGGTTCAAACCCATCAGCCACTCCTCAGAAGGAAGGTTGGGCAATCTACTTCCATAGTGACACTGCCTCGGCAACCCAAGGAGGGGTCGCTATGAGTCGGGTCCGACTCAATGGCACATAACAACAACTACAATCTTTATGAGATCAGATTGCCAGGTCTTTTCTCTCATGGAGCCACTGGTGAGTTTGAACTAACAACCTTTCAGTTAGCAGCCCAGAGCCTAACCATTGTACCACCAGGGCTCTGATAAATCACTAAAATGATACTATTGCATTAAGACTTAGAATATAACTCAATGGTAGTGGGATGGGTTAGGTTTTATATAGTTTGCTTATGACTTTTAACACTGTTAGATTTTGTCAAAGGCTTTTTCTGTATCATTTGATGTGATCATATTTCTTTAGCCTGCTGATATGCTGATTACATGAATTAATTTTCAAATGTTGTAATAGTCATATACACATGCAATTACTGTTGGTCATATGTGTAATTTATACATTGCTGGATTTTATTTGCTAACATTTTGCTGAGGATTTATGTATCTAAGTTTTTGAAGAACATTATCTGTAGGGTTTTTTGGACTTACTCTGATTTTATTGTCTAAGACATTTGACTGCTAACCAGAGGCTGGAGTTTCAAACCCATCAGCCACTCCTCAGAAGGAAGACTGGGCAGTATACTTCTGCAGAGATACCGCCTTGGCAACCCAAGGAGGGGTTGCTATGAGTCTTAATTGACTCAATGGCAGTGAGTAATACTGTCTCATGGAGTGAAAAGTTCTCTTCCCTTTTTTGAACGGTGTATCGAAGTTATTTCTTTAAGTTTGGAAAAATTCTGCAGTGAAGCACTGTTGTTGTTGGTATGTGCCATCGAGTCAGACCCAACTCATAGCAACCCCTCCTTGGGTTTCTGAGGCAGTATCACTACAGAAGTAGATTGTCCAACCTTCCTTCCGAGGAGTGGCTGGTGGGTTTGAACC